TACACGGTTGGCGGACGGAGCGAAGAGTGTCGACGAAGAGGGCGGAAGATTGGAGAAGACATTGTTCGCAATGGGAGCTTGTGGGATGATGGAGGCGATAGAAGGAGTTTAGCTGCTCGGTCAAGACTGTCAGCTTTTTTGCTTTTGCTTTTGCTTTCGTCTCCATCCCACCGCCTTTTCAAAATCCTCCGTCGAGGTCCTCCGTCAAGGTTACAAATCCTCCGTCGAGGTCCTCCGTCGAGGTTAACAAAATCCTCCGTCGAGGTCCTCCGTCGAGGTTACAAAAATCCTCCGTCGAGGTCCTCCGTCGAGGTTACAAATCCTCCGTCGAGGTCCTCCGTCGAGGTTAACATCAAATCCTCCGTTGAGGTCCTCCGTCGAGGTTCCAAATCCTCCGTCGAGGTCCTCCATCGAGGTTACAAAATCCTCCGTCGAGGTCCTCCGTCGAGGTTACAAATCCTCCGTCGAGGTCCTCCATCGAGGTTACAAAATCCTCCGTCGAGGTCCTCCGTCAACGTCACCACCTAATCCTCCGTCGAAGTCTTCCGTCGAGGTTCCCAAATCCTCCGTCGAGGTCCTCCGCTGCGGTTAACATCAATTTCCTCTGTCGAGGTCCTCTGTCGAGGTTATCTGACAATCCTCCGTTGAGGTCTACATATTGCCCCTCTAGCCGTAATATATTTCTATAAACAACTGTTTTCGCTCTCCGTGCCTAAGCCGTCTGTTTTACTAACTATTTTAAAAAGCCGAACTCGGATCCGAGCCTTTCTTGTTTTCTTCGTTCTCGGCCTCCCTTTTCCCTTTGCGACTCTCATCGTTTCCCTCCCAAAGCTGGATATCCCTTGCCTGAATATGTTTTTTACATCTTCTAGTGTTTATATATTACAGTTCTATCATTATCCACTACCCCCCGAGAGCCTTTCGAGGGGCATTTCCTATCCAAAACAAAAAATTTTCCTTCCCAAATCGAAAACTTTTCTTCCCTTTGTTCCCATTCACACTTCCCTCTCCGACTTGCTGACACGCCACGTCGATGGAATTTCCCTACATTGTAGTACAATCCATACCAACTTTCACACACTCGCAACAACATTTTCCTATTGCGTCCCTCCTCATAATTTCTGTTTTCAGAATTTTTACATCCAAATCGATTGACACCATCCGCAATGCGATTCCCTTCATTCTCTGCTATCAAGTCCCTCCCCACCGATGCGGACTCCGATGCCCTCTTGAAGAACGTTTTCCATGGCTCGTCCAGCATGCATGATCGTGCCACTGCCGTCACCTCGGCACTTGGTCTGATGTTCTTCGACCCTCAAGGAAAGCTCACGGTCGTTACCATCCCAAAAAAGGTTATC